ATCCCAGGACCCTGGGATCATGACCTGAGCCGAAGGCAGACGCTTAACCGACAGCCACATAGGCGCCCCGAGAGTGTTTTTCTTCTCGAGTTGCCATGATCCAAAGCAAAATGACCTGCTCACTTTAGGTTTTAGACATTTGTTGTGGTAGGTTTATGATTAATCTTAGGAAGACTACTGGACTTGCGTGTGTGCGCTCATGCTTTATATTTAGCCAGGAGCAGTAAATGTAGGTTATTTGATTTGATGGTTTTGTGAAAATTGGATTATAGGTTCTGTTCACAGGTGTCCTTTGAATTAACCCACTTTACCTGGTGTCCAGCTCAGTGCCCTGAGCATCTGCCCTCCCTGAGTATTTGTTAGTGGTTGAATGATAGTTGAGCAGTAAGTTTTATGGGTTAGTAAACTGTTTTGTTATAGGGATCCAACATGAGGACGGGAAGGCCAGTTAAGGATTATTCAGCATTTCCTAGAATGTTTGCTTGAGCCCTATTCCCATTATACTTTGGCAAAAAGATGCTCCCCAAAGAAGTCACAGAAACGTCAAAACTTTATTTTGGTTTGTGAGTTTCCCAAGGTTTGATATATTTACGAGTTATCACACCTGCAGTGAGATGCGGAATGTAGCTAGGTATCTTTCTTAATTTGAGTATTTGTGTTTTAAAAGGTGCAGCATAATTTGCTGAGTCCTCCTTTTGGGTGGGCAAATGGATCCCAGGACAGCAACAGCCGCCGGGCGACCACCCCTCTCTATCACGGGTTCAAAGAAGTAGAAGAAAACTGGTCTAAGCATTTTTCATCAGGTCAGAAAGAAGATTGTTAGTAAGAAGCTGACTCACTGGTTCTCACTGGGGGGAGTGAATTTGGTGCTGGAGATTGCTAGAGACTCCTCAAGATTTAGTCTATTCCCTATAGGTGGCAAATACCAAGGGATTCAAAACCTTTTTGGAAATAGACTGTCACATATCCCACATTGATTTTTTTTTTTTTAAGATTTTATTTATTTAGGACAGAGACACACAGCGAGAGAGGGAACACAAGCAGGGGGAGTGGGAGAGGGAGAAGCAGGCTTCCCGTGGAGCAGGGAGCCCGATGCGGGACTCAATCCCGGGACTCCAGGATCATGACCTGAGCCAAAGGCAGTCGCTTAACCAACTGAGCCACCCAGGCGCCCCGATCTTGAGCTTTATTGAGGAGAGTTTGAGAAAACATAGTACACAATAATCACATATGGAGAACTGGTTTCTGTGGTGTGATGGTGGTCTTTTCTTCCAGCATGTGATAGTCCTGGAGTGCACGTGCCACATTATGTCTTACTTGGCCGATGTCACCAATGCCCTGAGCCAGAGTAATGGTCAAGGCCCAAGTCACCTCTCGGTGGATGGGGAGGAGCGGGCCATTGAGGTGGACTCAGACTGGGTGGAGGAGTTGGCAGTGGAAGAGGAAGACTCCCAGGCTGAGGATTCAGTAAGTACCACGTCATCATCCAGGCAACCATGCCAGTTTATTAACGGCTGACTGGCACTGACAGAGCTCATGCTAACAACAAGCCTTTGGCCCTCTTTTCTAGCTCCTGTGAGCCTCAAAACTCTCCCACTCCTGTCTGCTTTCTCCCACTTTATATGACTAATGCCAGACTGATTTTCTAGGTCTGCAGAGTAAGCTGTAGGGATCTGATCTCTTAGGGAAGGGACTGTTTAATAAGCACATGGCTTCTTCCATGCAGAGTCACTTACTCTGCAGTTGTTCGGTGTTTGTATCGTAAGTGGAGTCTTAGGGATGATTTCTTCATGGGTATGGTGTGAGCTCTCTTACAGAGAAAGCTTAAGATTTCTTTTATTTATTTTAGAGATTTATTTATTTGAGAGAGAGATGGGGAGAGGGAGGGTGAGCATGTATGAGCAGGGGGAGGAGCAGAGGGAGGGGGGGAGAGAGAGAGAGCCCCAAGCAGACTCCCTGCTGAGCACTGAGCCCGATGCAGGGCTTGACCCCACGCCCCTGAGATTATGACCTGAGCCAAGACTAAGTCAGATGCTCAACCGACTGAGCCACCCTGGCACCCCTAGATTTTTTTTTTTTCTTTTCTAATCATAAAACCTTAAGCTCTCACCTGGAATTGTAGCACGTTTATAGCCTGCAGATAATTTCAAGGGGTAAGTTTTACTGGTCATTTAGGAATCGACTGTTTATTCTCTGTAGGCCTGTGTAGAGGGTATATTTCTGATTAAAAAGATTTATTATTTTTGAAGGATGAAGATTCTCTTTGTAATAAACTCTGCACTTTCACGATCACTCAGAAAGAATTCATGAATCAGCATTGGTAAGAGTAGTTCATTCTTTCAGGTGAGGATTTGTTGGGCTTGGACTGTTGGCGCAGCTGGGCTCATTTACTCATTCTCGTTCTTTGTAGGTACCACTGTCACACCTGTAAAATGGTAGATGGGGTAGGTGTGTGCACAGTTTGTGCCAAGGTGTGCCACAAGGATCATGAGATTTCCTATGCCAAATATGGTTCCTTCTTCTGTGACTGTGGAGCCAAGGAAGATGGCAGCTGTTTGGTGAGAGTTTGGAACATTCGCTGGGCTAGGAAGGGTGACTTGTTAGTGACACGGGAATGCTGAAGCCAAACTGGGAAATTGCCTTGTCTCCTTCGTGGTAGCCCAGGTCTAGGAGTAAGTTCTGGGTCTATCACTGATCATGGCCTAAGCCACTTCACTTAAAATGTTAGAACTTTCAGGGTCCTTAAAAATCTTGCAGTTTTTTTTCTAAGACCTGCCACAGTTTCAGATGTTGTTATTAAGACCTGTGGCTGTGAGTGGTGAAGTATTAGCTACTAGGTGGGTACCATGAAGATCAGAATTCAGGCGGTTGGATATCATTTAAATGTTTGGCTGATTTCTCCTCCGGGTCTGCATTTCCCACCAAGATCTCAGGCAGCATTTCATCTGTGTTTGTGGTTCGAGCTTTGGGCTTCTGACATTTTCTGTCCCTAGGCGCTGGTGAAGCGAACTCCCAGCAGTGGCATGAGCTCCACCATGAAGGAGTCAGCCTTTCAGAGTGAACCCAGGGTTTCCGAGAGTCTGGTGCGCCACACCAGCACATCTCCAGCGGACAAGGCCAAGGTCACCATCAGTGACGGAAAGGTTGCTGACGAAGAGAAGCCCAAGAAGAGCAGCCTGTGCCGTACAGTGGAGGGCTGCCGGGAGGAATTGCAGAACCAGGTGGGGGTTCTGGTGGTGCCTGGGACGCTGGGTGGAGTGCGGAGCCGGGCCAGCTGGTTCCCGAGCGAGCCATGCGCAAGGCTCTCCTTGCAACGCCCCTAGTGGGGCTGAGGGACGCTTTCTCCTTTCTCTGAGTTTACTCATTTTCACGGGACAGATCTGAGTAGGGCCTGTTGTCAGCCCCTGCCTCACAGGGAGGGATTTGGGACTGAGGAGCAATGGGGGGGCTTGAGGGAGGGTCTGTTTTAGTTGTGTAATACTCTAGAACACCTTCCTTGGCCAGTGTTTTCTCATCTGAAGCACAGAAAGAGAAAGTCATTTACATGATTGTTTTCTCAGTTTTCTCAAGGATGGCACATAACCAGAACAATTTTAGATGCATAGAGAATTCAGCTAATCCTGTGTGATGGGTGTATTCTAGCATTAGGGTGTCTACATGGGATTCCTGGTTTAGAAAGATTGCTTTAGAATTCGTAGCACGAATCCAATATTATCGAAAGGAAGAGATATGGGTAGAATATCAAATTGGAAGTGTGGAAGTTGGATTCTAGATTCTGAAGGTAGTTATTGGCAAGATTTATTATGAGTCTGACCCGTTTTATTTCTTTTTTTTTTTTTTCACTTGTGTATTTGGATTTTTCTCAGGCCAATTTCTCCTTCGCTCCTCTCGTGTTAGACATGCTCAGTTTCCTCATGGACGCCATTCAGACCAACTTTCAGCAGGCTTCAGCTGTGGGGAGCAGCAGCCGGGCCCAGCAAGCCCTCCGGGAGCTGCATACTGTGGACAAGGTGGTTGAGATGACAGATCAGCTGATGGTGAGTGTGGCAAGAGCAGCACATTTGCTGAGATGCCAAGGTGTGCTGGATGCTCTGAAGAGTATCCTTAGGACAGCCAGTCCCTAGCTAGCCAGCGGGGAGATCCACGTGTGAGGTGTGTCTTCAGAGGAACACACAAAAGGTCCTTTGGGCCAACTCAGTGAATAAGTTCCCTCTCAGTTCATAAGAATATATGAACCCCCAAGATGTGAGGAACAACATCTGAGGGCAATTATACTAGTTTGAAATTTCTTCCGTATATAAAGTAGGACACCTAAGGTCCCACTGGCTTGCAAAAATCGTATTTGTCGTCTTCTGCTTATAGCCCCTCAGGTAACTCTAGTTCTTCATGAGAAATGGCTTAGAAGTTGTAAGTCGTCATCCACTTTAAAACCTACTGCTCAGCACTGAGAATAGGAGTTCTGGTGTGTTGTTCTGCCTGTCAGGTTTAGCAATGGTGTGAAATAGTGGAAACCAGCCTAAAGTGTCTGTGCTTCTGAAAGGAAAGTGTACAAGTCAACGAGGTATAGGAATAGATCTCATAAAGAAACTGTTTTTAAGGGAAAAATATTCCCTCAGAAATAAACACATGTACATACAGATATTCTGATATTTTAGTAAAAATGAGTCACAGTTTTACAGTAGTGGCTTTTAGACTTAGAGCTGTTAAAGATGAAGCGAGTAAGTATTGGGGTGGTGTTGGGGATCCATAAAGTTGCCGACTCAGTTTTGCCAGGTCAGATCAATGAAAAACATTCCCTCTGTTATCACCGTCATTTGACATAAAAAAAAGGGCATTTTAATATTTCAAGAAGCCAGTACTTTTGTATTAATTAAATTTAGCCTTGTGAAACATTCACTACGTTGTTCTTAATTGGCTTGACAAAATAACTTTGAGAGGCTTGCCTAACTGTCCATGGATTAGAGACTGGAATCTGTTGGTTTTGAATGACTGCGTTATGCGGTGTCTCGGTCACATGAATAGTGGATGGATCCACTTGATCTCTTTGGCTTACTACTGCCTATTCTCTGCTTCCTTCTTTGCCAGGTTCCCACCTTAGGCTCCCAGGAAGGTGCCTTTGAGAATGTTCGGATGAATTACAGTGGTGACCAGGGCCAGACTATTCGACAGCTCATCAGCGCCCATGTGCTCAGGCGGGTGGCTATGTGTGTGCTCTCCTCCCCGCATGGGCGCCGCCAGCATTTGGCTGTCAGCCATGAGAAAGGGAAGGTGGGTTTCTAGTTCTTTCCTACTCATTTTAGGTCATGTTTGTCTTAAGTGCTAAACAAAACAGATAGATGACTATACTCAGATTGGTCCTCTGGGAGAAAGTCTTTTGGGTTCCAAGAATGCTTTACAGGACAGAGCTCAATGAGCTTTTCTACTCCAACTCTGAGTTCATTGGTTAGACTTAGAAGTAATGTGACTAGAACAAAGTTGCTGCTTCTGATGAGTAGTTTCTTACTCAAAACCTATCCTTTGAGCCTTCAGGGAAAGATAATGAAGTAGCGATTATCTAGGACAGCGTGGCTCCCAGGCTTGGTGTGGTTTGGTCATGCTGGAGGCAGGGCACAAGCCAAGAAATAAGGGTCTTCATGGGAAGACACAGTGTTCCTTACTTAGTTCTTTCCTGTCCTCCTGGCCCACTACGGACATAGGGAAGCTTATGTCGTTTTAGAGAACCAGTAGAAGTTGGAAGGGTGGCACGTATCTCAACATTTTTCTGTATTCTGGCTTCTTCATCACTAGTGAAGTTGTTTTAACTTTACCTTAAGTGGAAAACAAACTAGGAATCTGGTAAGTCTATAAGGTCCCTCTAAAATACTTCAAAACAAAACAAAAACTTGTACAGAAAACTAGAAAGGATGATAGTACATAGGGAGTGGGTAATTATTTTCACGAACTGTGTATAAAGAGGAGCTGGTTTCATTACTCCTCTCTTTTGTCGTCACTGGAAGGAGGAAATGAAGGGATCCCATCTCTCTCCACTGGGAGAAAGAGAGGGTTTTCCTAAGAGACTTTAACTGTGGACTAGTACCCCATTGAAGGAGCTTTTGTTGGACTCTGTGTCTTCTAAGAGGATGGGGGTAAGAATAAATTGGCAAGGGGCGCCTGGGTGGCTCAGATGGTTAAGCGTCTGCCTTCGGTTCAGGTTGTGGTCCCAGGGTCCTGGGATCGAGCCCCACGTCCAGCTCCTGGCTCAGCAGCGAGCCTGCTTCTGCCTCTACACCTCCCCTTGCTCGTGCTTTCTCTCTCTCTATCTCTGTGTCTCGAATGAATAAATAAAATCTTGAAAAGAATAAAGTGGCGATTGTCCCCTTGCAGATCACTGTTCTGCAGCTCTCTGCACTCTTGAAGCAAGCAGATTCCAGCAAAAGGAAGTTGACTCTGACCCGCCTGGCTTCTGCCCCCGTCCCTTTTACTGTGTTGAGCCTCACTGGGAATCCCTGCAAGGAGGACTACCTGGCCGTGTGTGGGCTGAAGGTAATAATCTGATCCAGGTTTGATTACTTTGCGCTACAGATCCTGATCCTCTTCTTTCCTCTGTTCTCAGCGCCGCTTTCTCATTCTCATTGTTAAGATTAAAACCTAAAAGCCTTTGAAATATAAAAGAAATCTTTCTCTGAATTTCTCCCAGCTCTTGCAGATCTTTCTTGTATTGGAAACGATTTTTGTGTGTTCTCGGAACCTGAGTATATTACTGGACAGTGTGAATACTATCCGAAGGCAAGGAATGTCAGGGAAGACTTGAGAGAGGTGAAATGAGTCATTCTACTTCCCGCCATCTTTTAACCAGTCTGTTCCTTAAACCCTGTCCAGGATTGCCACGTGTTGACCTTCAGTAGTTCGGGCTCTGTTTCGGATCACTTGGTGCTGCACCCACAGTTGGCAACGGGCAACTTCATCATCAAAGCGGTGTGGTTACCTGGTTCACAGACCGAGTTAGCGATTGTCACTGCAGACTTTGTCAAGGTACAGTTCCTGCTCTTGGATGATGTGGTCCTAGAAATGTTTTGTTTTTAAATCCAGAATGTCTGATCTCCATTATGTGCTAGTTCTCCTGGAAATTAAAAGTAAGCAATCCTAATTTTGTCGCCTTTTGTTATGGTGCTGAGCTAGAGCTTTCTGTGTGTAGGCAATATGACATTGTTTCTGGTTCTCCCCTTGCTTTACCAAGCGCATGGGTCTTCCTGTACTTGTCACAGAATATGTAGATGCGTATCTCTCCCCTAGTCATTCCTTGAGGGAGAGTTAAAAGATAACTCATCTTTGTATGCTCTGTGCCTGATACTTGCAGACGCTTGTTGGAGGGAGAATGAATGAATACCCATTACTCACCAATGGCAGGTCTTTGGATTAGCCAGGATGATTTGGGGGTGGGACTGAACTAGATCTCCCTTCCTTCTGTCCTGCAGATTTACGACCTGTCTGTCGATGCCTTGAGCCCGACCTTCTACTTTCTCCTGCCAAGCTCGAAGATAAGAGATGTTACCTTCCTCTTCAACGAGGAGGGAAAGAACATCATTGTTATAATGTCTTCAGCTGGTTATATCTACACCCAGCTCATGGAAGAGGCCAGCAGTGCCCAGCAGGGACCCTTCTATGTCACTAATGTGCTGGAAATCAACCATGAGGACCTGAAGGTTTGGGCAGGTGTTGCTTTCTCCTCTTCCAGATGGATTAGCCTAGTAGCTCCTCTATTGTTTTTCTTTTTTCTTTGGTCTCTTTTTCCCTATTAGCAGAAACTCTTGTCCTTTAGGACCAACCTGATTCACTGTGAAGTTCCTTGACTCTGATGGTATTTCTAAGATTTACCCGCACGACTTAGATTATGAGAGCCCACAGTCATGATTTAAAACTAATTACCTGCAAAACTGGCTGCTGGTCCCGAAGACAACACGCGAGGTTAATGCAAGTGTTGTATCTTTGCCCTGACAGGACAGTAACAGCCAGGTGGCTGGTGGCGGTGTGTCCGTCTACTACTCCCATGTGCTGCAGATGTTGTTCTTCAGCTATTGTCAAGGCAAATCATTTGCAGCCACTGTCAGCAGGACAACTCTGGAAGTGTTGCAGCTCTTCTCCATCAACATCAAAAGGTGGGAAGGAGCGCTTCACGCTGAGCTTCCACGGTGCCCGCATTCAGCGGGAGACTCCTCTGGCCCAGTACTGGCGTCTGTTAGGAATCTGGTGAAGCTTACTTTGCCCTGGTGGGCCTCTCCCTTTTATAGGCAAGAGGTGCCCAGTGTTGGTAGGTTGGTTGTCTGCATGGTTTGTCCTCCATGGTGCAGACCCCAAGCTGTAGGAGGTAGTTTGGGGACCACTGTCACTCAGAAGGAAGAAGCTGTAGTCAAGGCAGCACACCTGACTTTAGGGTGATAGAACTGAGTTTTGAGGAGGGAGCGTAAGTTGCTCCTAGACACTCATGCAGCCAAAGTGCCCTTTACGTTTCCCTGCTGGGGTAGTTGATCAGAACACAACATGGTATCAGCAGTGGGGGCATGGCCGGGGGTGAGGGGGGCAGTAGAGGCTTTCATCAGGTGTCTGGATAGTAGAGGTGTGAGTGAGGTGGTGAGTGTTAATTTAGGGAGCTAGGGAGAAGAGGCTTAGGCTGCTTTCCTGTCTGCCATTGAAGAGCCATAAAAGTGCTGTAGGCACTGTTTCTCTGGCCTCTGTGTTGTGAAATGTTATCTGGTTGGAGATGAAATCAAATGGGGTATCATTCACGCAGAACTTGATGTGCTTGGAGATGCTTGATAGGACCAGGGATCGTGAGCCTTAGGCAGCTCCATGCAGTGGATGACTTGATGTGCTTGGAGATGCTTGATAGGACCAGGGATCGTGAGCCTTAGGCAGCTCCATGCAGTGGATGACTTCTAGCAGAGATTTCTAAACCAGGACTCCTGTCGGGGGGCACAGAGTGGTTATGTGAGAGTATATGCGTGGCTCAGAATAGAGCTGAGACTCGTGGGTAATTCAAGTCCCTGGGCACATAAATTGCTCTGGGAGTCAGGTATTTGGTCAGTATGGCCTATAAGTCAAGAAAAGGATGACTAGGTGGCGATTGACACCCTGACTGTGGCCAGTTTTGTTGTCTGCAGTTCCAATGGTGGCAGTAAGACGTCTCCTGCCCTTTGCCAGTGGTCCGAGGTGATGAACCACCCTGGCTTGGTGTGCTGTGTCCAGCAGACTACAGGCGTGCCACTGGTAGTGATGGTCAAACCAGACACTTTCCTTATCCAAGAGATTAAGACTCTGCCTGCCAAAGCAAAGGTCAGTGCCAGATGCTCCCATCACTTGGCTGTGAACCTGGTCTGATTCTGTATTTCTGCGTTTGTATATTGTGTCCCTTCCCCGGCCCTTTCAGTAGAAAAGGCTTATCAAAGAATTTTCATCTGTTTTCTCCTAGATGCCTTTTCTCTGTCGCTTGTCTGCACCCCGTTACCTTCTTTCTATACGTTCTTATCTCTAATTGTGGGACCTGACACCCTCCTTTGTCTCCTCTGCCAGATCCAAGACATGGTTGCCATTCGGCACACAGCCTGCAACGAGCAGCAGCGGACCACGATGATCCTGCTCTGTGAGGACGGCAGCCTGCGCATTTACATGGCCAACGTGGAGAACACCTCCTACTGGCTCCAGCCGTCCCTACAGCCCAGCAGTGTCATCAGTATAATGAAGCCTGTTCGGAAGCGCAAGACAGCCACCATCAGTAAGGCCCCTCCTCAAAAGATGGTGGGGGAGCGGGAATGGCAGTCTTCTAGACGAGACTCGGAACAGATGGTGATAAACGTCTGTGAAGAAATGGTGACTCTCCCATTTGCCTGTTTCGTAAAGGTAGAGATAGGTGCTAGCGAATTTCCCCAAAGCAGTGTCACGTTTCCTGAGGCCAGCAGTGTTCTTGTGGCTTTTAGACACCTGACATACAAATGGCAAGCCCTCATTGGCTCTCCACTTGAGGTCAGCAGTTCTTAGGTGCCCAGGAAAGAATGATCTCATGGATTTTGTTGGAGAGATTTTTCTCTGGGTTTGGGGAACATGGTTTAACTGATGTGAAGTCTAACATGGAACCAGTGGACGATAGATTGCTTCCACTGGTCAGTTTCCCACCAAGTAGTGAAGAACCCATCGTAGATTCTGAGCTGGGAGTCTTGCTTCTCACTGATAGAGGACTCTTCAGGGTGTGGAGGCTTGAATTTGGGAATGGAGTGACTCTGGCTAAGCAGAGACCTTCGCAGGGGTCATCCCGTGACAGATTTGTTTTAGAATCCATGTTTGAGGTAACAATGCAGCTCATCCTCCTGTAAAGAAATAGTTTCTGTTGTTCACTTTGTTTATTTAAAAGACTTTATTTATTTGAGAGAGAGGGAGAGAGCATGAGCAAGAGAGGGAAGAGCAGACTCCCCGCTGAGCAGGGGGCCCAGCGTGGGGCCTGATCCCAGGAACCCGGGATTGTGACCTGAGCCAAAGGCAGACACTTAACTGACTGAGCCACCCAGGTGCCCCTGAGTTGTTTACTTTCAATAAACCAGCCATGAGGGAACCTGTTGTTACTAACTGTATTCAATACCACGCCTGAGTTCTTTGTCCCGCTGGGTTGAGGTGTGGTTAGGGATGATGACTGTTGGACTGTGGGCCACATGCAGGCGTCACGCTGATACAGACTTTGACATCCCGGTTGTCCGGAAGAGGTTAGAGTGTCGGAGTGCAGAGTCACTCGGGAGGGGCTTTCCCAGTGGGGTGGGTGCAGAGGTGGGGTGACATGCTTACTGATGCTCTGTGTCCGCTGGTCCTGTTCCGCACAGCAACCCGCACATCTAGCCAGGTGACCTTCCCCATCGACTTCTTTGAACACAACCAGCAGCTGACGGATGTGGAGTTTGGTGGGAACGACCTCCTGCAAGTCTACAATGCGCAGCAGATAAAGCACCGGCTGAATTCCACCGGCATGTACGTGGCCAACACCAAGGTGAGGACCGTGCTGGGCTGGGCACCGTACCTGGGTAGAAGGACTCCTGAACAGTGTGGTTTGAAAACACCTCTTCTCTTAGAATGCAGGTGTGAAATATATACTTACAGTCACTAATCCTTGGATTCTATTTAAGCGGTCCCTGGAGTTAATGGCTATTCTAAACTTCCACACAGAAGGGCTTCTGTTCCAACATTAGCAGCAGGAGGTGGTTAGTGATAGGGAGAAAGTAGCTTGAAACTGGACACTGTCCCATTCCTTGCCTCTCTTTTCTTGTCCTTGGAAGTAAGCAAATCATTACCAAGGAGTTAGGAGGGTAAAGGACTTCTCTGGGATCACGCACTTTGGCGCCAGCAGACGAAGGGTTATAAGTTTGCCCCAAAGAACTTGTGTTCATTGGCTGACTTGGACCTTATCTCCCTCTAGCCTGGTGGCTTCACCATCGAGATTAGCAACAACAACAGCACTATGGTGATGACAGGCATGCGGATCCAGATCGGGACCCAGGCCATTGAACGGGCCCCGTCCTACATTGAGATTTTCGGCAGGACCATGCAGCTTAACTTGAGTCGCTCCCGCTGGTTTGACTTCCCCTTCACCAGAGAGGAAGCCCTGCAGGCCGACAAGAAACTGAACCTCTTCAGTGAGTCGCCAGCCCCTGGCACGGCCTGCCCTTCTCACTTCTGTGTGGCGCTTCGGTATTCTGGGAACTTCTTCTCTCTGCTGCTCAGTGGTCTCTGCCACCCTGAAGCTCTGAGCTTCACTGGAGATGGGCAGGAGAGGGGTGTGCCGAAGAACAGGAGGGGTGAAGACAGGGCAGACCCTGCCTCCACGTCCACTTCTGTGGGGCAGGCTCAGCCTTGCTGGTGTGGTTGCCTACGTCAGTGGGCAGGGAGGAGGCAGGCTCAGTGCGTGAGAGCAGCAGGTGTTCTGAAAGCACAGATGAGGGCCTCAGTCACAGGCCGCCGAGAGACGGATGTGTAGCAGCTTCTGGCCTTGCCGAGCCGTCGAATTCTTTAAACCCTCAGAAAACAACTCCCTGAGCCTTTCACGAGCCTGGCGTCTTTCTCTACCATTTACTGGCCGCCTGTCTGATGCTCTTGCTTCTAGAAATAGCTGCTGCTAGACTGAATGATGATGGTCTGTGTTTTGAACAAAGGGGTTGCTTAGAGCTCCCTGGAGGGTGGAGCTTGTGGGATGCAGTGCCCCGAGAGCACCAGAGGGGTCCTGCCGCGGTGCTCAGAGGCTCTTCTGAGAGCTGGCCTTCCTAGGCCTTTGGTCAGTGGGACTGCTTCACATGCAGTCAGCGTCTCCACAGGGTCCAAGTGCTGTTTGAGTCTCAGGAGACAAAGTTTCTCCGTGACAAAAATCGGTGGGATTTGCTACTTTGCCCTCTTTAGTCTGCTCTTCGCTTTGGTGGCGGTCACGTTTGCCCTGTAGAGAATGTGCTTCCTAGAGCTTCTCTCACTTGTTGCAGTTGGGGCCTCGGTGGATCCGGCCGGTGTCACCATGATCGACGCTGTGAAAATTTACGGCAAGACAAAAGAGCAGTTTGGCTGGCCCGACGAGCCCCCAGAAGAGTTCCCTTCTGCCTCTGTCAGCAACATCTGCCCTTCCAACCTGAACCAGAGCAATGGCACTGGAGACAGCGACTCTGGGGCCCCTGCCACCACCAGTGGAACTGTCCTGGAGAGGTACCAGCGCCGGTGGGGGTCGGCTCCCCTCCTTGCCATTTTCCCCTCTCCCGGCACAACCTGTCCTGAGAGAGTCAGCTTCTCAGAACTGCCCCAAGTGTAGCCTGTGAGTTTCAGGTTGTCCCCCAGCTGCCCGACTCCCCGTGTCTCCTTAGTACGCAGACGGAGCCCGGCAGCGTGCTCAGAGCCATGGGATTCTAGTCTGCCTGGGGGCTTCTGTGCCTTCTCTTAATGCTCAGGCGCCCTTTGGAGGAGCCAGAGGCTGTGGAGTAGGAGATGCTTAAGCCAGCATTAGAAATTTGGGTCCAGTCTTGCTGAGATTAGAGGGGAGAATCTTCCCGTTCCTTCTGATGTCGTCATCTTCTCTTTCTCTGCAGCGGCCTCTTAGGTGGTAATGGCGCTGCTGGCCAGACGCTGGCTGCTGCACGCGCAGCGGAGGTCAGAGCCTCCCGGGCTCCCCCCAGGGGCCTTCTGAAGCGTCGCGCTTGGCTTCTTTGTGCTAGGCGGCTGCTGGTTTGCCGCGGTAGATAAGGCGACTCATGATGTAAGACGCTGAGTTTCTTACATCGTAAGTCAGAAGAATAGCCTGGCTTGAAGTCACTGCCTCCCACCAGCAGCCTTCCCCCTCCCTTCTCTCTCTCTCTCTCTTTCTTTTTTTCCCCCTTCCCTATTCTTATATTGTTTGCTTAGGATGTGTTTCTAGGTTTCTCTGAGCTTCACATTTTTTTTCCTTTTTTTTTTTTCCCTTCGCTTCTCCCCCAAGTTCTGAAACTGAGTCCCTAACCAAGCTGGACCGGTTAGTATGCCCTCTTTCTTTTCTCTGCACGGGTGAGTGTGTGTTAGAGAGCCGTGTAACCAGTGGTGTGGCTTTGCTGCGCAAGAGTCCTCCTGCTCCTTTCTGTTCTGGTCCTTGCATGGCTGCAGAGCTATCCCATGTAAGAGTGGAGTATGTGGAGGGTTGTACGTGCACACTTGGTGGTGGCCGCTCCAGAACCTCCCAGCTCGCTCTTCTGTACCCTGTCCCTCTCCACTCCCTCTCCACAGTGGGTGAGAAGGGGGCGGCTGTGGGCAGTGGGATGACGGGGAAATCCTAGCATCTGACAAGCCAGCAGAGAGCGTGTTCATCCAACTTCGTTTTATGCCTCAGGCCCCTCTTCCCTCCCTCTTTGTTGCCTTCCGCTACCCCTTGACCTTTTTCTGTCCAGCTACCTTCTCCATACCTTTCCCTCTGTGCCGGGAGCCTCGGCATCAGGATGTTGGTCTTTTTACCACGCCACAGTAAACTCAAAGGAGTAAGCCCTGAGGAGCATGTGCTAGGTGCCTTTCAACAGCTGGGTTTCCGGTTCCTTTCCCAGGAGAAAGTGGCTCAGTTTTCTAAAGATGCTTTGTTGTACCCTGTGAATGTTGGCAATTGGCATGCTCCTGAAAACACAGTTTGTTCTCTCCCCATACTTAGGGATTCACAGGAAGTGCCTTTGTGCATTTTCTTGGAGATGTAAGTAAAATAGAATGCATACCTTCCCAGTATAAGAAGATGGTTTTAACCTTTCCCTTTGTGTATCCTTTTGTCTCCTGATCTATGGGCACCTGAGCTTTGGGTCCCATTGCATCAAGACTGTTAAGCTCCTCTCAGTGATCCCTGCCACAGGCAGCAGAAGGAAGCACACTTATCCGCTTTGAGGAAGAAAAGCCCTGTCTTTCAGTTACGGATTATGAACATGGCCTCAGGTTGATCTCCAAGTGGGAGCCAGGTTTCTTCTGGCCTGTAACACAAGGAAACGTTATGCATGGTGCCTGTGGCAGGTCTTATCGTGCTTTGATTTTGTATTTGGCATTCATTAGCTGTCCCCAAGGTCCCCCGACTATAGTTTGCACAGGCTCAAGCACAACCAGAGAGAAGGGTGGTGGTTGTACTCAAGCCAGCTTTTCTGTCTCCCTAGGCTGGTTGTGAGTTCTTTAGAAGCCCTGGAAAGCTGCTTTGCTGTTGGCCCAATCATCGAGAAGGCAAGTGACTTTTTCAAAGCGCATGGGAGCTTTCTGAAGAGGCAGGAAGTCAGTGGAGTTGTCAGAGGCCCGAGGCCTTGCAGCTAAAGAATATTTATGTCATAATCTTGATTTGCGAAGAAGCTCTGGAGAAGTCTCTAGCTTAAGGCCTCCTGTCCTACTTTTGGGGGACCCACTGTGAGAGTGTTTCATAGGTTAGGACGAGTGCTGGCAAAAAGAACACTGTTCCAGGAGTCGTAAGCTGGGGCTCGATTCCTGCTCTTGTATTGTGGGAGGACTGTAATTTCTGAAATTCTTCATTTTGCTCTTAGCAGTCCACATTGCATAACCTGGCGCTGGTGGTCTAGAAAAGAGGAAAGGGGAAGGGCAGAGTGTACACAGTTGGTTCTGCACGGATTTGGTGGGGTCAGCGGTAACCTTGCTGTCTTCCGCATCAGGAGAGAAACAAGAACGCAGCTCAGGAGCTGGCCACTCTGCTGCTGTCCCTGCCAGCACCTGGCAGCGTTCAACAGCAGTCCAAGAGCCTTCTGGCCAGCTTGCACACCAGCCGCTCAGCCTATCACAGCCATAAGGTAATCGCTCCCTCCCTGGATGCCTTCCGTAGAAGCCCAAGTTTTGGTACTGACGGGGAATCAGGCCAGTTGGCCTTGCAAACGGAAAGTGAGGAGCACACAGTAAAGTCATTGAGATAAGACCCACACTGTCTAAAGTCTCTCCTGAGAAATGAACGACTCCCCCTCAAAACTGGGGACAAGCCGACTAACGGGCCCCTGGTTTGCATTGATTTTTTTGTCACTAGTAGGATCAGCAAGGTCTAAGAGAAAACTGGGTGCCTTCTCTGGAAGAGCGTGGGCAGGGGAATCACGGAGATCCTTCCTCTAGCTGTGGCACAGCCCTCACTTAGGTGTCCTCGCTTGTGAGGAAATTGCCGAATGGAAAGATGCTGAGGGGGAAATCTGGGGCCAGGGGAGCGGGCGCAGGGAGTGGGGGGACGGTCTCACCTATAACTGAAAGTGGTGGCCGAAGGCAGTAAGTTGGGCCAGTTGCTGTAGATGGGAGAGGTGACTGGTGAGTTCCACGAGGAAGAAGCAGCAGTCCAGGCGCCTTGGTGAGCTTTTGTGCCTCCAGCCCAGAAACTTGAGAAATGCAAGTTTAACCTGCCGAACCTCTCGAGGAATGGCAAGTTTAGAAACAGACACTTTGGGCGGTAGGAACTTGCAGAGAAACGGCTCTTCTGCTCTAGCAAAGTCATCTGGGATGTTGCAATTCTGGAGAATTGGGCGGTTCCAGATTTTCCTATCGTACTTCGACACTTAATGACTTTCGAATTTTGTGCCTTTAAATGTTTCACGATTTAAGAAGTTTACCTTTACAAATGGACTGCTTTGAACACTTGTTCCAGGTAGTTAGCGGTAGTTAACCTGTTCTCCTGAGAGAAGGTAGCCATCCTGATGACCTGCTAGCTGTCCTCTCCTCTTCGCTCTAGTGTCCTACCCAGCCCTTGCTTTTGGTTCATCCTCGTGATCCTTTTGTTATAGGATCAGGCCTTGCTGAGCAAAGCTGTGCAGTGTCTCAACACATCCAGCAAAGAAGGCAAGGATTTGGACCCCGAGGTCTTCCAGAGGCTGGTGATTACAGCTCGCTCCATTGCCATCATGCGCCCTAACAACCTTGTCCACTTTACGGAGTCCAAGCTGCCCCCGATGGAAACAGGTGAACTTGGCCTATGTGGTCGTGGTCCTGAAATCTGCTCGATACATCTTTTATACCCTTTCACCCTCTTCTTGTCGTCTCTGGCCTCCGCCTGACTGCATTCTCTGAGCCGGCTTTTACTCTTTGTCTTTGTACCTTGTAGGGCTTTTGATGTTTAGATTGTACCATTTAAGCAAATACTCTTTCCAGTGCTTACCCTTTGGAAAATCTTGAGTTTATTTAGTGCTCTGGATGTCAGATATAATCTGTCTCTGAAGTAACTACCTCTTTAGGATCTTCAGGGCAAAGCTAAGCTTGGGCCCTGGTTGCTTTAAAGTAATAGGATCAATTCCTGCTTTCGTGCTATTCTTTTGCCAGTGTTTTATTAACATGTGCAGTGGGCTTTCTCAGAGCTTCATTCTGTTTTCTCTTCTCACGTTGGCTGGGTACCTAACTTGTTTTGCCTTATTGAATACAGCTTATTGATGCCTTTACGGTTCTGTTAATTACATGCTCCCATTTGCTGTCATTGGTTCCTTCTCCTAATATTCTTATCCAGGAATCATGCCAGAAAATCTCAGATGTTCCCTAGTTTTTAGAAGTTGAGCAGTTGGACCTGAAATCCCTGAGTCTGCTGTAAAGATCCTGAATGCTCCCCTTTCTACTTAATTCTAACATACAATGTTTTTTTTGATATTCCTTTCCCAGACTGTTTTTTTCCTAGATGTGCCTGCTGGAGTCTAGGGATAGTTGGCATATTGATTGGGGCCCCACTTGAAACTCCCTCCCCAGGCAAGCTTCCTTGACCTGAGTTAACCTTAAAACAAATTAAATTCCATGTCAGATTTACCATCGTTAATCATTTTCTTTCTCCTGTTCTATTAGAAGGAGTAGATGAGGGGAGAGAACCTCAGAAGCAGCTGGAAGGAGACTGCTGTAGTTTCATCACCCAGCTGGTGAACCACTTCTGGAAACTCCACGCGTCCAAACCCAAGAACGCCTTCTTGGCACCTGCCTGCCTGCCAGGTATCATATTTAAAGGGATACTTGAAGCCCGATCTCAGTTCTGTCTTTGAACAGGTCAAACCCTTATCCTTTAGCTTCATCATCCATCTCTTCCAGAATTGATGGAAGATCAGTGCATTCTTCCAGATACAGGAGTTTAGCAGTGTGGCAAAGAAGTGGGATTTTCTTGTACTGTAGCTCCTCCTGTGGGGTTGAATATTTCACAGAAAGAGGCATTTTTGTGTGTCTGTGTATCCTTGGTGGTAGTTATAATTGTTTTAAAAGTGTTTCAAAAGCTTGGGCAAAGCCACTTCAGAAGGTAAAAGTGAAGCATCACCTTGAGAATTGTTTTATTTCTAAGCTACTCCTGTGTTTGGCATCTAACTTCGCACTATCCAAAGTTTAAGTAGTAAGGTATAAGGATCCAAATAGCAACCTAGGGAAGTAGAGTGAGCCCTGGTGCTCGTTTGTGTTTGCAGGTTGCTTGAGCAGTCAACCTAAAAGGAAGGTCAGAGGCCAAGTTTATCATCACCTAAGGTTTGGGGACTGTGGGGAACAAGTACAATCTGCTCAGCTCTTCACACTTTTCTGCCCTGTCTTTTGATATCCAAGAGCAGACAACTCCTTATTTCTGTGATGCAGGATATCTGCAAAGGCTTTTCAGACAGTTTGGGAGATGAGGAGACTGTTAATAAAGCAAATCACGAATAATGCTGATAATCTACATTCTGTATGTGTGTTTTGTTCATCTGTTTGTGCTGGGTGTGTGTGCTTGCCATTTTTTTGTTGGTTTGACCTTTTTTTTTTAAAGATTTTATTTATTTATTTGAGACAGAGAGAATGAGAGAGAGAGCACATGAGAGGGGTGAGGGTCAGAGGGAGAAGCAGGCTCCCTGCTGAGCAGGGAGCCCGATGCGGGACTCGATCCCGGGACTCCAGGATCATGACCTGAGCCGAAAGCAGTCGCTTAACCAACTGAGCCACCCAGGCGCCCTGTTGGTTTGACCTTTATGTGGGGATAAGGATTTGCACTTTTGTTTTAGATTCTCAAGTAGCTAGAAGTTTTCTTACCATCTTTTCCTGCCCTGTAGGCCTGACTCATATTGAAGCTACCGTCAATGCCCTGGTAGACATCATTCATGGCTACTGTACGTGTGAGCTGGACTGTATTAATACAGCATCCAAGATCTACATGCAGATGCTACTGTGTCCTGTATGTATCACTCCAACCCCAGATAATCTTGTATTGGTCTGGGAGTGTCTAGAAATTTTTTTTAAAAACAAGTTTGTTAAATTAATGAAATACAATAGACTTTTTTTTTTTAAAGCTTTTATTTATGTATTTATTTGGCAGAGAGAGAGAGAACACAGTGAGAGAGGGAACACAAGAAGGGGGAGTGGGAGAGGGAGAAGTAGGCTTCCCTCTGAGCGGGGAGCCCGATGCGGGGCTCGATCCCAGGACCCTGGGATCACGACCTGAGCCGAAGGCAGATGCTTAACGACTGAGCCACCCAGGTGCCCCGAAATACAATAGACTTTTAAAGGAAGGTTGTGGGAAGTAAGACTTTTGAATGTCAGTAAAAGCTTTATGATCTCACTCATTCCATGCAAGGGAAAGGTTTGAAATGGAGATGGATTTTGTTTTTTTTGTTCAGCGCTAAATCCCCAGGGGAATGTACTGGTGGTTGCTACATAGTTAGTGCTAAGTTAGTGTTACTTAAACGAGTGTGTGAATGAACATCAACAAGATCTATTTTCAGTGACTGTGTCGTAGAAGCTTAGCGTTAGAAGTACTGATTTTAGCCCATAGCTAAGATGAGCCTGCTTTCTGACGAAAAGCCAAAATCCATTTGTAGAGAGCCAGTGTGACTTCAGGAGCAAATGATCTGCCAGTCCATTACCAGGAACTGAGATTCAGGGATGTGGGGAATGGGTCTTACCTACACCATGTCAGGAAATGGGATTAACATTGAACTTGGTCAGCAAGGTTGCAAGTGAGAATAGATAGATTTGTCCTTCACATCTGTGTCAGTGATTGACCAAAAAAGAATGTTCTTTATAGACAGTTTCATGAATAATATAAAACCTAAGCATGCTGATTGTTTTTTTTTCCCCCCAACCTCAGGATCCTGCTGTGAGCTTCTCTTGTAAACAAGCTCTAATTCGAGTCCTAAGGCCCAGGAACAAGCGGAGACATGTGACCTTGCCCTCCTCCCCTCGAAGCAACACTCCAATGGGTAATGTGAGGTCTGGGTTTAGCCTTGTCTGGGTGGGGTCGGGGAGAGGGAGGTGTAGCCTTAGGAGGTATTGCTCATGTGGACCAAGGTCCTGGAAACTTTTTTTTTTTTTAATTCTTATGTTAATCCCCATACATTACATCATTAGTTTTAGATGTAGTGTTCCATGATTCATTGTTTGTGCATAACACCCAGTGCTCCATGCAGAATGTGCCCTCCTCAATACCTATCACCAGGCTAACCCATCCTCCCACCCCCCTCCCCTCTAGAACCCTGGTCCTGGAAACTTTTATGTATCCATTGTTTTACCCTACCTTATTCCGTAAAGAATTTAAGGTGGCACTTAAAAATGCGTATGGTAAGTAGAATTAAAATAAAATTGAGACCATAGGAAAATAACGATATTATAATAAAAGCAAGCCAAGGATGCAGAAAATGTGTTTTTTTTTTTTTTTTTTAAGATTTATTTATTTTAGAGCGCGCACATGTGTGTGGGTGCATGTGCATGAGCAGGGAGAAGGGCAGGAGGAGAGGAAGAGAGAGAATCTCAAGCAGATTCCCCAGCTGAGCACGGAGCCTGATGCAGGACTCCATCTCATGACCCTGGGATCTTGACCTGAGCCGAAATCAAAAGTGTTGCACGCTTAACCGACTGAGCCACCCAGGCGCCCCGAGTGCATAAAATTTGTCATGCAATTCTTAATGTGTCTTGCATTATTGCTAAGTGAGAATCTTCTGTTTGACTGAAAGGATCCCAAGAGCTTATAGCAAAAATAAGAACAGTCACAAAAATCACATGACCACAGACAAAAACCAGCCATTTTTCCTGGCATAAAAAACTCTTTGTTAAGGGTCCACTTTGCTGCCCAAGGGGTAGTAGCCCCAGTGGACTTAACCTACAATCAGTTTGATAGCAAATATCACAAGAGATTTCCCTCCTGATATACTTGCACACAAGTCAAGGGCATAACACTGAACATTTTAGTAAAAGCAATTTTACAAAGTATCTGAATATCAGCATTATTATGTAATTCTCTGGTTACTTAGTTTGGCTCGGGTTGAAATTTCCAAGGCAAGTCACATAACATAATTTTTAATTTTCCATTGGCCACATTATAAAGAGCAAAGAGAAATACATCTGGTATATAAAAAATATCATTTTTAAGTGTAGTCAGTATGAAAAATGAATGAGAAATTTTCCTTTTTTTAATGAAGATTTTATTTATTTGAGAGAGAGAGTGAGAGAGAGAGCACACGAGCAGGGGCAAGAGGGAGAGAGAAGCAGGCTCCTTTGCCGAGCAAGGAACCCGATGTGGGGCTCGATCCCAGGACCTGGGGATCATGACCTGAGCTGAAGGCAGATGCTTAACCGACTGAGCCACTCAGGTGCCCCAAGAAATCTTCCTTTCTGAAAATGTTTTTTGCAGTTTTCAGAATCTAAGGTAGTTGACACTAAAACCACATCTCCGCTTGGACTAGCCACATGTGGCTGGGGGCTTCCTTACGGTACAGTTGCAGGTCTAGTGGAATGTGTGCAACTTGGTGATCTTCAGATAATCTTCCTTGAATATCATTTATTGACGTAAGCCTGAGTTAGGCAACAATGTGTGCCTTTTTTCTGTGGCAAGAAACTAGAGTACAGGGAGTTGATGTTTCCATTTCAGGCCACGGTCTCATGCTTTCATGCTTTTCACGACCGCACAACCCAGTGAGTGGTGAGGGCTCCACCCTCTTCTGACAATTAAGAGTCTAACCCTGACTTCTCCTTTATTAGAAGGGCTTCACACTTAACACAGAAGCCAGCCTGGGCAGGACCTGTAGTGGTGTCCTTAAGTTTCCATTCGATGGTTTTACATTTCAGTCTGGTTCTTCTCATAAGGGAAAACAACTAAACTGACCCAGTTATTTTGGACAGGAGCGAAATGATACTCCAAGCTGCCATGACATCACAGATAAACATCTCCAGTGTATTATTTTCCCGGTCTTGCCCAAGGTCTCCTGGCAGTTGGTGGGAGCTCATGGGGCCTACTGGTCTTATATATCTCTGCCCTTGGAAATCCAAGGTTTTTTTGTTTCGTTTTTTTGTTTTTTGTTTTTGTTTTTGTCATGTCATCTGCTGGGAAAGTGTTTTCCTAAGGGGGCAAGCTGTCACTGCCAACCCCATCTTCCCAGATTCCGCTAGGTCCAGGAAGTGGGAGATTAAGGCTTCCCTCTAAAGCACAGGGCTCTCACTGGTAGCTTGTCTTTGGTTTATGTTGCCTTGTGACTTACCACACCACATGCTGAGGGAGGAAAAAATAGGCACCTTCAGGTGACTGGGGTTTCTCTGACTCAGGAGACAAGGATGATGATGACGATGATGATGCAGACGAGAAAATGCAGTCATCAGGGATTCCGAATGGTGGTCACATCCGTCAGGAAAGCCAGGAACAGAGTGAGGTGGACCATGGAGATTTTGAGATGGTGGTGAGTCTCTGGCAGCAGGAGAGGGGAGAAAGAGTTTCACAACTCCCCTCCGGCTCTCATTCTGTGGACTTGCAAAAGCTGCCATTTACCATGGGACACTGACAGAGCTTTCTCTCTGCAGTCTGAGTCGATGGTGCTGGAGACAGCCGAAAATGTCAACAATGGCAACCCCTCTCCCCTGGAGGCCCTGCTGGCAGGCGCAGAGGGCTTCCCCCCCATGCTGGACATCCCGCCTGATGCAGATGACGAGACCATGGTTGAACTAGCCATTGCCCTGAGCCTACAGCAGGACCAGCAAGGTAGAAGGCAATGCCAGGAACAGAGCCGCCCGGTGGCCTTGCACAGCAGAGAGGGTTTGGCAGTTACTGATACCCAGCTGACTTAGCTTGTCCCCAGATTTGGGGAGAGGTTGATCTCGGCGAGAGCTGTTCAGAGACACAGGTGGAGAGTGAGAGGGGACGTGCTGGGACTTGCCGTCTGGGAGCCCATCTCCTCATTTCCGCTAGTTTGGTCTTTGGGGTTCTTTCCTCCCAAATCTGTTAGATTTCTCCAGCCTGTGTCCTGCCTGAGTTGAAGGAAGCCTTCCACCGTGTCTGTAACCAAACTTGGTGGGTAGACAGCGGTGGCTGTTGATTAACTTCCTCTAGGCCAGAGGGGGTCACACGCTGGTGAGTTTAGACTCCCGAGGGCAGCAGGTGGCCAAAGCAGTGCTGTGGATGGGGTCTGGAGGGAATGCTGTGCTCACTCTCCACTTGTTTCCCAGGCAGCAGCAGCAGTGCCCTGGGCCTGCAGAGCCTGGGGCTATCCGGCCAGGCACCCAGCTCTTCCTCTCTGGACGCAGGAACCCTCTCTGACACCACAGCATCAGGTAACTGTCCACGGCAAGGAGCACGGCTCAGGGCCCCAGGACCCTCTGGCCTTGTTTCTAGTGCTGTGAGAGTGGAACGGGCAGCTGCTTTGACAGGCCATTCTGGACTTCCTGCTTCTGCCTTTGCTTTAGAAACACGGGCGCGGAGGGCACAGTGCTGCAGCTCGGCAAAGGCGCTCATGGCTCTGCTTCCTTCCACTTTGCATGCTGCCTGGCTCCTGCTGGTTCCCAGGGAGAGGCGGAGAGAGCGGCTTGCAGGGTGGTCAGCTGTAGGGCTGCAGTGACAGCTTTCAGGGCTCTCCACCAGAGTCCGGACGTTTTAGACATCAGGAGCAGGGAGACGAGAAGTAGAGAGAGCTCATGCCATGTACTGTTTTCTCTTCATTTACAAATAAAAGTGAAGCTCCAAGAAGCCGAGTCCTGCTTCAGGTCAGCGTGGCTCACTGTCAGGGCTGTGAGCTTGGGAGGTAGGGGTGTGTGGACACTTAAAATTCATAGGAACGCTTTAGACCTCATTTTGTCTTTATACTCAATCTCTGTTGATCTGATAAAGGAAAAAAAGATGTCCTGAGTAGAGAGTTGGACTAAATAGAGAAGGAGGGAACACCTGAATAATCCCCCGGAAAATCAAGTCCTGAGGAATGGAAGGGTTGATTTAGAGTTTTCCCGAGCGCTGCTTCCCTGTATTTCTTTCTTCCTTTCTTCCCTTTCTTTTTCTTCTCTTGGGAGCGTTACCCTGGGTAGAAGAGAAAGGGAGACATTGGCTGTCCCCTCTCACCTGCTGCCATGCGTGTCGCTTTTCTCAGTTCTTGTTAGCTGCTGTCTCCTCAGGCTTGGAGGTGGCTGTCGTGCTATGCCGATTGTGTTCCTCTTGTGCTCTGTGGCTGTCTTGGCTTTCCTCCCCCATGTATCTCATCCAGCATTGTCCTCCTGTCTCAGCTCAGCCCTGATCCTGGATGCTGTGGCTGTCTCTGGGGGATTTCCTTGCTTCATTCTTAGCGTCTGAGGAGAAGGATGAGGAGGGGTGAAATTTCCCCATGAGCTCCCCTCTAGACCACCTGAGCAAACCAACCAACCAGCAAACCAAGGTTGATTCAAGAGCTCATGATAAGTGATTTCCTAACATAAGCACAAATTAACTGATTGCAAAACAAATCTCATTAAAATTCAGAGTCCCGGGCTTTGAATGGTAATGGGTAGTTTCTGATCTCAGCAGGTGTCAGTAACACCTAGACAATGGTGGCCGTGAGGCATTCTAGCTAGAAAACTGAGCGTCCACATCATAGATTCTCGTTGGATCTCTGCGCTGTCTACTTGCACTATAGCGTAGCGGCAAAGGAAATGCCCAGCGCACTGGGGTTTCCCTCTGTCTCAGTACCGTTTGCACCTCACCGTGTATAGTGTTTGTTCCTGTTGGTGATGAACCAGCAAAGCAAATCTTTCCCTTTTTCCTTCGATGACAGGATATATAAACTGCATTGTGTCCTCTGCGCTATGTGGTTTGATGGTGTCGCCCCCAGGAGGGGTTTTTACCTGTAACAGCTCTCGTTACTCTCTCAGCTCCAGCCTCGGACGACGAGGGCAGCACGGCAGCAACTGACGGCTCCACCCTTCGGACCTCCCCTGCCGACCATGGCGGTAGCGTGGGCTCGGAGAGCGGGGGAAGCGCCGTGGACTCGGTGGCTGGCGAGCACAGTGGTAATATGGCTGGGGTCCTGATCTCCTTGGGCCGGGGCGGGAATGCACTAGGAATCTCTGCCTGGCTCCTGGGATTGGTGTCAGCAAAGGGAATTTTTGAGGGCTCACAGAATATCTGGTGGAATTCATTTGACCTCAACACTGGATTTTCAAATGTTTAGTGGTAAGAGCTTAGGCACAACTGTGGTTAGTGTTGGAACATTTTACAGGCAGTTTTTAATTGTGTCTTACTGGAGGAAAGCAAGGATGTGCATTATCCCAAATCAGGAATAATCTAAAATAGTTATGATATGACCTTGAAGTCCATCATACTGTGGCTTTTGTCCCCTCTGTTGGGGGAAGCTGTGTTGGGCAATCTTCCTTTTTTTTTTTCTAAAGATTATTTATTTGACAGACACAGAGAGAGCACAAGTAGGCAGAGCAGTAGGCAGAGGGAGAGGGAGAAGCAGGCTCTCGCTGAGCAGGGAGCCTGACTCAGGGCTTGATCCCAGGACCCTGGGATCGTGACCTGAGCTGAAGGCAGAGGCTTAACCGACTGAGCCGCCCAGGCGCCCCAGGCAATCTTTCTGTTAACATAGCGGGCCACCATCACAGTCTGCTGGCTGATGCAGTGGGGCTGTGGAATGAGGAGGCATGCCATTTTGGTTTGACCTTGTAAACCAGCCTGTGGTTAAAAATTAGATCGGAAAATATTTTACGGAAGGTGTTGAGTAGCTGATAATTCCTAGATTTCCATCATGTACGTTTCCCTTGGGTTAGGAGATGGAAATTGAGCAGCAGCAGAGATAGTTCTTGTAGGTGGATCTTATATACTGTAGAAGGATGAGTAGCTGCCCTCAGAGTCTTGTAGCATAGTGCTCTGGGGTCAAAATCTTGAATTCAGGCCTTATTTATTCTCTTCTTCACACAGAAGAAAAAATTCTCTGAAGCTAACAGTCATCCCTGAACTGTTGCTGACTTCAGAGTGCGTTGGATTCTGTCATGCTTGGGGATGTGACTTATACTTTTTTTAAACCATTTCCCTTCAGTATCCGGCCGGAGCAGTGCTTACGGTGATGCCACAGTGGAGGGGCACCCAGCTGGACCAGGAAGTGTCAGCTCAAGCACTGGCGCCATCAGCACCACCACCGGACACCAGGAGGGAGATGGCTCCGAGGGAGAAGGGGAAGGGGAAGGGGAAGGAGATGTCCACACTAGCAACAGGTTGGACCTGGTCATTTGCAGTCAAGAGGCTATGGGAGAGTATTTCGGGAATAGGGTGATGGATCAGTTGCAGGAGGTAGAGCGATGATGGTAGTGTTGTTTTTTAATATACAGCTTAGCAAACTCAGGAAACGGTCCAAGATCTTAGGAAGCATTCTAGATCTGTATTCTTTGTCCTCATTAGAACTATATCAAATTAACTGCAGAGAGAATAGAATGTGGTTTTTCTCTTAAGGCCCCCCCAATATTCTCTTAGTCACTGTAAAGTGATTGTCATGAAAATGTGTATTCTCCTGCTCAGATATTTCTTGTTTGGTCATTACCCATAAACCCACTTCATAGCATTTTTGTTACAAGTGGCACTGTTCTAGGCTCACCAGTGATTAGCTATTACATATATGCTAGAAATGGCTTCTTGTTCAGTATGTTTACAAAGTAACAGAGAATTAAGACAAGAGCAAATACATATCTGTGTCTGGAGATACCAGTGGTAGGGCATTTGGCAAATTGAAAGTAACCTATAAAATCCTAATCCATCCCCTTCAAGAAGTTCTGGTGGTTGCTACTGGATTGGTGGGGCGCACATAGTCTTTAACGGAGAGGGGAGACTAGAGAAATACATTTGTGATCTAATGTTTGTTAAATTTGTTGAGGCCCAAGATTATCATGTTAGTGCAGTGCAGAAATCATCAACAAGCATTTTGGACTCAATGATTTCTATCCAAATAAAAGGTCACTGAAGCTGTCATTCATGAGACATTTTCAGAGGACATCAGGGAGTGTCTCCCATACTCCGTTTCCTGCTGTTTCAACTTCAGTTCTTGGAACATCTCTTGGATGAGGGGGAACCTCTGGCTCCAATAAGTGATGATATTTTGTTGGAGTCTGTTTTTTTTTTTTTTTTAAAGATTTTATTTATTTATTTGAGAGAGAGAGAATGAGAGACAAAGAGCATGAGAG